AAGTAATAAGTATGAAAAAACATAATCTATATATACAAAATAGACAACAGCTAGTGGGAATACAATAAAGAGTTTGTATACACTCCGTATAACAAATGCACTGTTATTAGTAAACAATAATTATGATAACTTATGAAATAACAATGATAAACTAAAACATCATTTAAATTTCATTTGTTATTAAATGCTCATAAAATACATTTTAAAAAACCTACATATCTCAATAGTTTCAGAGTTGTTAAACAAAAGATAGAAAAAAGGCAAGCTTCGGCTGTCATGAGCATGCTTTATGAAAGGTGAAACAAACAGAAATGAGACGGGACACAAGAGGAAGTGGACAACGCTTTTAAGAAATACGCAATAAATAAATAAATAGGAAACTACAAGATTTAACGGTTAGAAAAAGCCTTTCATTCAAGATGCAACAACGCCGTCCCACTTGTAAGCAAATTAAATTTTCACATTAACATACAGAAATCCGTAACGCTGACAACCAACGAAGTTCGAATACACACACTATTATTGTAATTATAGCTATAATAATGAAATTCATCTACAAAGCACAACTGCGTGTATTAGACCTCTCACCACAAAGCTGTAAGGACTTACAATACGACCAGTTTGTTCAAATTAAAGTGAAGTACAGATTGCATCTACAGCCTATGAGTTTAGATTTAAGTATTGAAAGCATCTAGCCCAAACTCTAACGGCGAAAGACAAAAAATTCAATTTGACAAGCCGCAGGAAGTGAAATATTGTAATGAAACTACGATGTACAGAGAGATGAAAGGAATAAGTAAATGACGATTAGTGAACATTTTCAGAAAGTGGAAGACGACAATGATTGAACACACCTAATCTGTGATAACAATTCTGTATCAAGTCAAAAACATCCTTCAGACAGATTATTAGCATGTTTAAAAATCTAATTTGAGACTCGAAAGAGTCACTGATTTCCTGAATTCGTCTAACCACCACCAACTCTTTTGTTAATAGAATTATATTTCAAATTACATTGCTTGTTGAGGAAGGCAGTGGCTCAGAATGGGTGAAACATGTGCTAGTCATCTTAATTCACTGAGCTTTACATCACTGATCGACTTTCTCTTCTTAACTAACACTACACCTGACTTCATTATTACAATGTTGCTCCAACTAACACGAAATAGAACAATGACATCCATGTTTAAAAGCCGTTAATTTTTTCGCATTAACTTTTAAGAATAGTAGTTAAGCAGACGTAGTGCCAGACGGAGCAAACTGCTTCATAGAAAACTTTTCGATGAAGAGCTGTATATCATGTATGAGCCAAAGCAGCAAGTTACAAGTACCAAGTAAGCCATAACCCTATAATGGGAGCTAATGAAGGAAATTTGGGAAACAGGAAAAAAATATGTTAAAAACTGTTGGTCTTACGTTTTCAGTAATACACCTGGTTGCGACATGAGGTGATACAGTAAAGAAAAGTTGACTTATTCAGATAGTCAAGATATCAAACGGTAATAAAGTTTGTGAATCCATACATATACGAATCACATTAACAAGTACGAACTACTTATATGGCAAGAAAAGAATGCAGACCAGTAGCTCCGGTAAAGCACCAGAAGTAGGTACACCTTAAATTATTTGTTAAACGAATTTAGACTTTTTCTTGAACTCTGAAGTCATAAATACAGTGTCAAGCTCTGGAGCACTAAAAAAACTACCACTTTTCTTGTTCCTGAATGTGTCGGTAATTTCGACTTCTTCCAAATTGTATAAGTTTATTTCATATAACGCACAATAATGGAGTATTAATAACTGAAAGACGTTCTGAACACGTATTTTTCATAATCATATCAATGCGTTCACACAACTCGATAACTAGTTTTATGCAACCTAACTCCCTGTTATTTTTATTGCATTTTTCTACATATCCTCTATAGGTGTTTTATCATTTCTACTGCACATTTGATGTTCCGATGAAATATCAACCATCAACAGAATAAAAAGGGTTAATCAACCTCTCGACAAGAGTATTAGACTCTGGTTAAATAAGAAAGTTCGAAAACGGATTAAACCTCAATGTAGCCATTTGCAGATTAAAGCCTGAAGACATAATTCCTAATGTGGAAGTAGACTTAAGTGCAACAGAAGAAGCAACTGCTGAACAAGTCAGAGCACAATGTGCACTGACATTGGGAAACCAGAAAGCTCTGAAAAATTTTGAGAAACGACAGGAACATAGTGCTTGCCATATCAGATAAGAGTAATTCAGCATTAAAGTCAATGAACATACTCAAACAGGTCTATATGATATAAGAAACCGGTAGACACGGTTTTAAGATTAAAATATTTACAGCTGATTTAGTAGGCTGAATCAGTTCATCCCTGGGTGAGGCAAAATGGTTTAACCTAATGCCTTAAAGTAAGAATCCTAGTAGAATGTATGGTACTGTTACAATTTATGTTGCAGATTCTGCGCTACCTTATACCAAATGAAGCGACAGCTTGAGCAAATTGAAAAATAGATAGTTCCAACATAACAAGTTCATACACTAAGATCTCGAGTAATGCAGTTCTGGAGGCAGTTATAAATTAGCCATACACAGATCCTTAACTCACAAATAGAATTAAGGACTCTGCTGAAGAAATAATATTAGGCATTTAATTATGTCTGACCTCCACTATATTCAAAGAAAATGTACAGACAACCAAACAGGGAGGCAGTGGGACCAGCAACATATCAATAACTGCAGACATATTTATGGACAGCTGAAAAAGTTAAGCTCACTGAATTTTTAATTCTGATCCTAGGTTATGGTGGAGATATAAGTGACATTCAGAGTTGAAATCTGAACATATACTTAAATTATTCACACAAACTCAGTGATATATGGGAGCTAGTTCACTTTTAAGTTACAAAATGAATAGGGTGTCAGCTATACTATATTGCCAAATAAAACAAAAACATACTGGTGGGTAAGGTAGCAGCATCTGCAGGAAACTGTCACATTAACAGATACTTAGACTTTGAATCGTCTTACCTAAATATCGGTTGAAGAAGGTTTAATCAAATATTTACACAATCGAGGCAGTAGGCTAACTAAGAAGTAGGGATATGCTGCGCATGCCTAACCACCGCCTCCCCCGACGGGCATTACTAGCTGATATAGGTGCAGGTTGGAAAAGAGTAAGTGGTGGCCAAACAAAAACATGGCATCAATCCATGAAATCCTTGACAGTTAAACTGAGTCAGGTAGGGAGATGCAGACTTCCGGGTTGGGGCCCACCCTCGGGACTCTAAGAATCAATGAAGGCTGGAGACAATAGGTGACATGGCTCAAAATCGTTGTCAATGGCTTACGCAGATGTATTCAGTCTCTGTAATCTTTCATATTCCTTTCTACCATTACTCATTCTGTTTCACTCTTATACTTATCAAATTCTATTGATTCTCTTCTCTCATTTTCCTGTCTACCTTTGTGTGCTATTTGGAACGTGGCAACTCGAACTGCTGCACTTCGATGCCAAGTTCTATGTTGAATCCAGACAGACAGGGATATTTAAATAATGGGACCAAACTAATGAAGAAAACATTACTAATGAACAAATACCTACAAGATCTCATCGAAAAATGTATGAACGTCCATATGAAGAAAACAAGGTAAGTAATGGAATATAAATAATAAGGAATTCGGAGCCTCAATAGTACTGTCAAATAAAGGAATACAATATCCAGGCGTAGGATTTTTAATAAGGCAGGAATACGAGTGACATTTAGGGCAACTAAGCAATTCATCAACAAACTTAGTAGGATTAAAAACACGACAGACACTATAAGGAAAAGTAATTTAATTTACCGAACACCACATAATAACTTCGAGATCAATTACATATATCACACTGGAGGGTACAGGTCGATTACGATAAAATAAGTAGTCTGGTGTAACCTAACTGTATGCTACTATGCCATAAGGTGGGGTAAGATACAGGTAAAGAAAAGCAATATGACTTCATTTTTTATAATGGAGTTACGCTCTACCACAGTGCCCAAGTTTTATACTTAAAACCGATATAGTTAGATAGGTAGAGATCAATAAGTGTTTGTTGTTCGAGTCATTACCAAATAAGTTTAGTCGAAATGATTTAACATCTATCCTGAATAAATGGAAAGTCTGCATTATATATATAATGTTGAAGTCGTGTGAATATATTGATATAATCATAAGCAATAAATTGTGCTCGAGTCACCTTCCAGTTACTAATGATCTATCATTGTGTGTCACATCAAATAAACCAACCCAATATGGAATTATTTGTTACGACAGGGTTCAAATCCAACCTTCACAATAGATTAATTGTTTTCAAATTACCCTAATCTATCTGAAACACAAGATTTACTTGATAAGACTAAAAGAATTGACACTTCCACAAACTATTCTACGGAATAAAAAGCATTAATGTGGAAAACATTACCAATTAGGTGGTGTCATTTACGTGGGTTTCCGAATTCTTCATGGTGCAGAAACAAAATGTATAGACTAGATGAACAGAAAATGTGCTAGTTTTTCGTTCGTTTGCTAATTATGTACGGCGAAATATAGTTTAATAAACAAGGTAGGCATTCAAGAGGATAGAGTGCATTAGGGCATTACGTGGTAATATTATATCAAGTAGAATTCACCGCCAAAGCAGTGAATAACATTTTTTGTTAATTATAGCTTGATTCTACGCAGTATTTTGGTACGACCATGAAATTTTCACCATTTGATACCAGCAGCCCGAATTCAGCAGGTCGAACTACTGATATCAGGTGTGCGTCGGCTGGGGATTGAACCCCGGACTAAGTGCATGGTCGGAGAGCGTACTGTGACACCAACGCATTATATGATCAACAAAAATACAGCGCCGAAACTTGATGGGCGACTACTACTCTGACAGCTAAAGCAGATATATCAAACGGGTTTCTTAATAAAAACTGAATCTACTACTGTAACACATGAACTCAAAACACATACCAAACCATCCAAACTCGTGCGCTTAGCGTTAGCCATCACAATGCGCGCGATGCTCAATGTAATAAAGGTCAGATATCAAATATATGGCAGAAATTAAACGTCACGTACAAGGTCATTGGTGGAGTGAGACGCTCAAAGGTCATTTTCGTCCATGTTAGTCGGCCATGTTGGATTGCAGTTCCGTAGCTGTTCGTTTACACATTGGTTTTTCCGTTTATCCAGCAGTTATTCACAACTTATCTTGATGCACATTGTTCACAAATGTTGCGTTTCACTTCATTATTGTTTCCATTTCTGTTAAAATTAGTTATTTCGTTTGTTTCGAAAGTTTTTACCACCAGGTCAGTGCATTCGTTTCATTGTAATTGTTTCATACGTTGCATTCATGCATGGTTTCAGTGTTTTAATTGTTTTTCAGCTATTAATGAATTAGTACTGTGTAGAAATCTTGGAGATTATACACGTGAACATGTTTGGGAAGCAGAAGCCATTGTTTCCAGTTCATTTTTGGTTGCCGTTATTGTTGCTGGCTCAGTTGGTTACTTAATACGTAGGAATCTGGAAAAAAATGTCTTTCACGTTCATGTTTACAGCATGCAACAATCTACGAGTGAATCTGGTGAAGAAAGCACCATCAGGGTTGATATTAGCAAAGTTTTCGAAGAACTAATTAAACCTAGAGAATTTAGAACCTGGTTTGAAGTTTAAAATGCTTTGAAGCTTTTCGACAAGGTGTCTGTTGTCAGCTAAAAAATCAGGTATATTGTGAGAGAATCAAGCAAGGATGAGCCACATGTGAAGTATGAATGTGTGGTGTTTGTATGTACTTTTGGAAGCAAAATTAGGAAGCAATAGGAAATCCCTAAATGATTGTTAATGCCTAGTGTACTAGATCCAAACGCACGAACTAGGACTGTCTGTAGTGAACGCGGTGTTAACAACCATTTTATTTGTTTCAAAACGATTTGAAAAGCGGATAACATACGATGATCTGGTGAGTGTTCGGTAAGAATTTAACTAGCAATAATAACTTTTCTGATTTTGGTCTACAGTCGGTGGTTTTTTTGAAGTAACAACAAAGTGAGAAGCTGATTATTATTCGGGGTGAAAAAATTGGCTCGTTGCAAATTGCTTGTTTCAGTTCAAATAATGAAATTCCTATTTTTCGGATGCTTGTGATTTCTCCGTGGCTATAAACACGGTTGCCCATGATTTTTAAGAAAACTTTAAATAAATTTTCCTTGAACCAATGGTCTTCTTTTTCTTGGCGAAGCATCTATTGAGACGATTAGGTAGCAAAGTAGAATGTTCTGTGATTGAGAATCGTAGTCGTTGTGTTTCGGATTTATATCGCGCATCTAATTGCTATAACCCTATGAATAAAGCTTTTTCCTCATGGTGCATTATGATATCTGTAAACCGTAAGCACACTGTCTTCGATAAATTAATTTTTACTTTTTAAATGACAGCAAATAGTGAGTCATTTGAGGCGATAGGATAAATACCTCTAAACGCTTTCGTGAAGAGATTAGGATATGTTTATTTTTTCGACTAGGAGACGATCTTTTTACCCAGAAAGCTCTCAGGATGTCCGCTTTTACTTTGTAATTCAAAGATAACGTTGAGTTGCTCACTTAGGTAGTAGCAACAGGAGATTACCTTCAGGGGGAACTACTTTAAGGTAGCTTTAGATAATGCGTCATAGAAGTAAGCAGTGTATGTTTATTGTGTCTAAATATATTAAACGTTGTAAAGCTGGTCAAATCGTAGTTCTCACATATGAGTTAGTTTTTTAAATAATGAGTGTACCGTACTAGCGTTTACCTTGATTTGCATACCTAGCTCATAAACATTATGCATGCGTGTGGTATACATTTAAGGCTAAGACGCTGTGTGATGAATTGGTCCGAGATACTTAACGTCAGACTTGTTTTCTGTACCACTCTCATCAATTTTGCAACGGTCATAGGAATTAACAGCCTCACCTAAGTTTCTTTTACATCGGAAACTGAAATTGACAATCTGACATTTGGAAGGATTTAGTTTAAAAGCATTTTCTGACTCCTGATAGAGAGCTGTTCATCTTAGTACAGTGTAGATGCGAATTAAAAGACACTGGAATAGTTAGTCCGCGCACTTGACATATTTCATTTCGTATGCATAGGTACATTAAGTTCGTCAAACAAAAATACAATTGGTAGTGGACGACTATAATGGAGAAAATGCTGTGATGCAAGACTGCAGCTGCATCTAAAGTACTTCTACTGTGTTTATAGGCGAATTATTTGAGATCGTTAAAGGCTTTAAGTGAAGGTTGAAGATTAAGTAAGAGTAACTTTTCCATAGCTTTTAGAAAAGGAGAGGTAATAGCAATAGGTCTAAATTAAAAGCATGTTCCATTAGACGACTTAGGTATAGGTACAATTTTAAAGTCCTTCCAAACGGCTGGCACAACATTTCTGGAAAAAGATTCACTAAATATGTCCATGACAGGATATCTGCACATTTTTTAAGAATAACGCTAGGCAAACAATCTGGAACTAGGCTACAAGAAGGGTTCAACGAATGGAGATATTTTAGAACGTCATTTGTATTGAAACCAAGGAAGCAACTCTTATTAACACTTGTGACACCAGAAACCTTGGCATTTGTGGGAGAATGTATGAATGCCTTGTTTACCGTACACACATCAAATGAATAGGGAATACTGTTGTAATACTGGAGGTAATTAGATGCATAAAGGCGTGAGTTATTTAATATTCATAAAGTAGATATGTAAATACCGCAGTTGTTGATCATAGAAATGATGGATATTAGATAACATCACATGATTCAACGGCATATTAGAAATAGATGAAAATTGTTTCTTTGCTCACTGTCAAGTGAACAGTCTATTTGATGATGTCACTGCATATTAACAGATTAGTGAAGTAGCTATCAAGCCTAAGTTATTACATTTACTTGTACTTCATACTTGGCGTTTAACAGTGTACAGAATTGCAACTGGCTAGATAAGGCGATTTTAGCGTATCGAACAGTACAGAATTATTATTCAGCTTGCTAAATCCTACTTAGTTTTTACAATGTGCTAATGTATAGAAACAGACACGAAATCTTACGAAGGGCTAAAGTAACAGTCTCATAATACTATAGTAAATCTCCATCCCACTAACTAAGCTTAACGTGCATTAATCCGATTTCACTTATTACAAAAGCACATAGTATAGCGACGCACTGAAAAAGTCTAGAGGAAGTAGAATTGAAGAGTATATTAAACATTTCATTAATTTACAAAAGAAAATCCCGATGAAGAGTATTAACGTTAGTTTGTCCGAATGATATTTCCGCTGGTTTCATATTCGACAACCTCCGTATACCTGAAAAAAATAAAGCACATGTAAGGACTAGCACAACATGAAGTTATGAAAGATAATTCTACATATTAGCACACACTATGAATACACTGATTCTGTTAATACTAAGTAATATCTCATGCAAATAAATGTATTTGTAGTTTACAGCTGGTTTTTATATTGACACCATAAGCATCAATAGACCTCATATGTTTACCAGTATTAAAGGATTATACGCAAATATCAAGACAATCTTTGAAACTTCCATACTGTTGAGGCGTCATACTCTCATTAACCTTAGTTGCAGATCAACTTCACACTGAATACGTTTACATTAAATGAAGTATTGCAAATGTGTAACTTAGAAATTGATCCATAATCTCAGTAATGTCTAATGAGCATAGTTTTATGAATCCTACAGAAATTATATTCTCACATTAAGGAATCTGTAGCCATCAAATATAAGCTGAACATGCTTCAACTCTAAACAGCTATGCACAGTGTTAGCAGCATAGAGAAACACTTAAAATATTGTAAGATACGCAGACCTGTTGTGTTGATGAGGATAACAATGACATATAATGCAACCTAGACATTCGATCGTGACACTGCATCTGTACTGCTTCATGTTAATGGAAAATTCAGGAAAAATTCATCACCACTATTGGTGATCGAAAACATTGCAGCATCAAGTTTACAGTGCCAGTGAGAATGGCATAACAGACAGTAGATTGATAGTAATAGAGCTGACTAGATTCAGTTCTCATAATCGACACAATCCATGTGTATAATAATACTATACACTGAATTAATGCACTAAGTGACACAGTAAGGAAATTTAAACGAGTGATTGCCTTCTCCACTGCACTGCACTTGCAATAATCATGACAACCACCTACGTTTGCTAGCCAAGCAGTCAGCTAAGGAGACAATGGCACAATATAAATAAAGTTGAGGTATTTTTTATACATTGAGTCCACATAACTCATATTACACTACACTAAACAGTGCAAATATACATGAAATCCACTTAGAAATAACCTCTCAACTTACGATAATTCCTGTCCAAACACACACGGTGAGACACATCTACATGATTACTTCTATTCCCACAGAAGGTTCTGTTAGCATTTACAGGTGATTTCGAAGTACTGATAGAATTCTTTTGTCAAAAAGGACTGTTCTTCACACGTAAATAGGCTGAATTAATATCCTGAGACGTGAAGTCTCCATTGAATGATACCATGACGAAAGGTGCAGCATCTAAATAAAGTAGATTATTTGTGTAGATGAAATTACCCTTCAACTATCCTATCTTTCTCACTATAGCGATATTTTGCTACAATTCGCCTGAAACACTGATCGTTGCAACCAATATGCTAGGGGGTGTCGCAGTCAGATTACATGACGCGGACACCAAAATAACAGGCCAAAAAATGGGAATTCTCATCAATCCAGATAACATATAACGCAATTTCATTAAAAATTATTGACAAAAAAAATTTTCCAAGGGAAATTTTAACAGCGCTACTAGAACATGGCATTTAACGTCTACCCAAATATATCGGATAAGGATAGAAGGCATTGAGACTATGTTAATCCTTTCTTATAAATTTCTGTGGTTGTCCAAACCCTTCTTGAATGAATCAGGTGAGGTTGCAGGCTCCGCTTCTTCTGGGAGTCCAATATCCA